GCATACAGGGAGTTAATTAATATAATATGTGCGAGGTTACTTTACGTATCTATATAATTCATTAATATGATTAGATTTTTAAAATAGTAAGCATGATATATGTTATAAAATATATCAAAATACTTGTAATAACACGTAAAGTGCTGAAAAATATTGATTGCTTACCTTTATTTTATCATAATTATAATTTATTATTAAAGTATATTGTATATTACAAAAGTTTTCATAAAATTAATACATTTGAAACATTTAAAGTTAATTTCATCTTTTTAATACGTTAAAAATAATATAATAATTAATAACTAATCAGTAAAATATGTTAAAAATAAACTTATAATATCATATAGTTGATAATTATTAATTGTTATGAATTAATCAAGGAGTGTAAATTTTTTATTGTAAATTATACTTTGAGTTATAGATTATCAGCTTGATTTTGCTTAAAATTAGCATAAGAACGATGAGCATCTACCATTCAGTTAAAAAAATATCAAYGCGAAATCCCATATGTTTTGAACAAAAACTTAGAATGATGTGTAAATATTACTAACATATTTAAGGTACCAATATTATAAACATAAGTATATCGTATATTATAATAGGCCACTTCGTAAATAATTTTTTTTTTATGAGACAAATTAAATTTTCTTTCGCAAGGACAAGTCATTATAACCTCAATAATAAAATTGTATGATAAATATAAAACATATATTGTAAAAGTTCTAATACTAATAAAATTATCATTTTGTAATGGTATTCTATTAAATGTTATAAATGGTAATATAAAACAAAATAATGTTGATTTTTAAATAAATACATAAACATGTGGCTATGACTAAATATAATAATATTATATTATAATGTATCTAAATTTCAATAATATCATTAAGATATTAAAATATTATCAATAGGTAGCCTATATTTTTTTTATATCTCAATGCAAATATTATGGTTTTTGATACCCGAAGTCTAAGCATATTTTGTGTATGCTAGGGGTRGTTTTATTATGATGTAGGTTATAATATCATTTTATAGATCCTTTACCTATCTAATTTAAATTTTAAAAAAAGCGGGTAAGTGGATGTCACTCTGCTGTACATTAGGGGATGGGGTGGACCTCTGACTAGGGTAGGTTTAATTTGAATGCAATGATAGGTATCATTGTATACGAAAAATGATTCTGCAGAACGGAGATGATTTGTCAGTCTAGACTCTAGGATAATATATTATATTTAAATATTGTCATATATTTGATTTTGAAACAAATATATTATTATTTTTCAATTAGGACGCATTTTGAATAAGGCATGGTTAATCAATTTTTCCAAAAACATTGCATGTATAGTTATCATCATAATCGGTGTGTACTAGTTGCGGTCATAATCAAAAATTACGTACAAGTTGCGGTCATCCATCAAAAAGGTTACATACTAGTTGTGGTCACTCAAATAATAATAACTAAGTATACTAAATAATATAATATAAAATAATATAATAATTAAATATAAAATTAATATTTGGTTTATTTATTTAATTTAGAAAAATKTATCAATCAACATTTTCCTTCCCTATCGAAAAATATGTTTATCGTATAATATAAATTTCGCCTGGAATTGGAGTATAATAAAGCTATGACTGCAATTAAGATATTACCTAAATTGGCGTGACCGCAACTGTTATATCTGTTTATCTCAAAAATCGTCATGACCGCAACTAGTATGAAGCCATCATAATTCATAATACCTTATATTATCATAGATATACAATTATATACATATACCTGGTTTAAAGATAAATCGTTATCATTACGCGATTTCATAAAAATTTAAAACTCAAACGCTCAAAACATTTTTCCTATAATGACGCTTCAAATTTTCTCTATAGCTATTTGAAGTAAAACTTATGGAAAACTATGTGTTGAATTTTATAACCTCAGATATAAATACAAACAATATTATGAATTTTGAACTACAAAATAATTTGCAAATATTCATGGTTTTGACGAATTTYTGTCAATATTTGAAATTTAATTTGAATTTCCGGTGGACATTTTTTTTGTGATAAAGATTGACAAATTTGTAAGGAATCTTGTATTAAATTTTCAAGATTTTCTACCCAAAAAATAAATTTTTATCGATATTAATTAGAAAAAAACTAATAATGATCGAAAATTGCATATAGCTATGAATAGTTTAACATAAGTTAAAATTTTTTGAAAATTTCATGGTGGTTAGAATATACTTATATAAACATTCGGTGAAAATTGCATGTATCAATGGTCATTTGTTTTAAAGTTACATCAAAAATCAAAATCGATTTTGTCGAAAACTGATTGTACGTAAAATTTCCTGTTTTTCCCTTAATTTTTAGTTTGTTTAACCCGATTATTTAGAAAAGTATTAAGAATTTGGTACTTTTGACCCCCAAAAGTACCAACTAGATTCACTTTCTGATCGAACGAGGTGCTGAAGTCAAAAATCGAAGCATTTTTACTGCCCCAAAACGTGATGACAGACACAAAAAAAAAACACACATCATGGTAAAATCAATACATTCATCGCTCCGCTCAGAATCTAAAATAAAAATATTAACGAAGTTGAGATCGAATGATGGGCCAATAATATGCACAACAATGTATGTCTTTAGAGATTTGTGCGATAGCAATCCCAGTACTCGTGACCAGCATAGTTGGACTTCATTATACATACATTTAATACTCTTCTCGTGGAATCACGGAGAGGTATTCGCACCAACTTTTTTTTTAAAACGCCTTTTTTGCATGCCAATAATAAAATATAAGCTCTGCGATTTACCTAATGGATTTAAATCAGATATTGAGTTAGTATTTTTAAAAACAAATTTTAGTGTATTTCATTTAAAAATAACAATTAAGAGAAAATGGATAAAAGAAACGTAGTATATATACTATACAAGAATGAGTTGAGGGCATAAATTGATAAGCACTTGTTAAATACCTCATACCTGCTTCACTTGTTTAGCTCAGCGAGAAAACGCACAGGTGTACGAAGTGGAATATAATTGCACGCGTTTAACCTTTTTGGGTATATAAGATTAAAATAATGAAGAACATGCACGATTTTGWCTATATAATTCAAAAGCGCACAATTGCGCTTGAACTTAGGCGCGACGTTGCTAAATATCAGTTATTTTTAATATTTTAATTTAGACACTCAAAGACTTAGACATTCAAAAAGTATTTAAATAAATTCACACAAATACTWTACAAAAATGTTTTAATATAAAAGAAATTTACTATACAGTTTATTATTATAGAAAAAATATTTATTAAGTAATTATCGTTAAATATATGTAAATAACACGAAATAATAAAGTAAAAAAATTAAAAATTAAATAAATTACATTCAATATTTTTTAGATTAAATATTAAGCCATCTATACCCCTATATTCCCTGTTTCAAACTATGGCCGAATACTGAAGTTCATTTTTTGAAGGTGTTTTATTTTTACATATTCTTTGTGTTGCTTACAGATAAATTCAATTTTGAACAATAAATTACCAGGTTCAATGTACGTTTCCAAAACATAATCACAAAATAGTTTATCATTTGTATAAATATTAAAGTACTTATATTATACTTGGCAACGTTGCTTAATAGTAAAAGTAATATAATAGGACCCGTCAATAAGAACCACGCGCAATCACATCAAGCTCGTTATACGATACCTAAGTTTATTATATTTTATGGACGAGCGGGCGATACTAAGCTACCCAACATCATCCGTAGATCATTGGGACTTTATTTGCAACTCTTTGTATTATCATAATAATGATGAGAAAGCAAAAAAAATTATAACTCCAGTCTCCCGCCATAAAATAAAATAAATAAACGTCTTTAAATAGCATAAATTAATGAATATGTTTTAGTTATTAAGTGTACCCTTAAATACCCTTAAATTTATTTATCAAGTGTAAATATAATAGGTAACCACAAAATAAAAAGTACACAAAAAGTTGACAAAAAAAAAAAAATTAACACAGATGATAGTTTCGTACTAATATATTAAATGACATTATCCTTAAAAATTACATAAATATTTAAAGTTTTTGAAATTACACAGGTTGGATATGTCTCATTATATGGAGAAACAATTCAAAGGTAGTGATGGTGGCTATGGAAATACATTTTTAAGGAAAGAGAGAAAGATCGAAGAAAAGGTGGATAGGTAGAATCGAAAATGACACGAAAATAACTAGTGTGCATCATAAAAGGGAAGTGGGGGACAGAGCACTGTGGAGATGTAGGTCAATTGTAACCGACCCCATATACCGTATAATTAGCAGAAAAGACGAAGAAAGAGACGGAGGTTGATGCTTTCCTCCACATCCCCTTCCCCCTTCACACCCTCCTCGGACAAGGACCCAAAAAAGGGCACAAGGTTGTGACTTTTAATATTTTGCGAAAATTTAAACCAAAAAAAAAATCTGAAATGACACCCCTGTTTATATATTTATTATTTTATTTTTATTATAATATAATACTGTTTTGAAAACGAATGAGAAAATCAATATATAATTAATATTGTAATATATTATTATGATAGTGTTAAAATAATTGAGAAAATAGTGTGCTATGAATGTTGGTTTATGATATAAATGCTTTAAATAATGACAAAAAGTATTGTACGTACCTATATTTGTATAGATGACAGCAAATATCAAAGAATAACACATCATTTAAATATTAAATATTTTAGATCAGGATGAATTGTATATACTTACTATAATATACCTAAGACTAAAGTTCGTTGAGTATTTTTTTCTAATACGTTTAAAATAATTATTTTATTAAAACATTATTTTGAAAGTAATAATCACTCAAAGTTAAAATCATTTATTTAGATAGTAAAAAGGCACCTAAGATGTAAATAATGTTATTTAATTCGACTGAATCAAAATAATATAAACAATTTGTTTTTATTATTATTAATAGCTATACTATAGTAAATATAAGCTTTAAATGCTATTCGCCAGAACTAGGGCGAGCTTTATCCGCCCGCAGAGGTCCGCCGTCTTGAGGACAATACGGGCCTACCGAACCGTCTCGGATGAGGCCGCGCTGGTTCTGGCCTGCACGCCGCTGGCAGATCTGGCCGGGCTCGAGAGAGGGAGAATAAGGTCTCGGCTGAACGTCACTTTTGAGCCAGGAGAACTGCGTCCGTCTAAACTAACGGTCAAACTCGAGGAGCGAAAAACTACAATTGCTCTATGGCAGGCAAGGTGGGAAGCAACCTCAAAAGCCGCATGGACGCGTCGCGCCATTCCGGATATAGGTAGATGGTTAGGCAGAACTGTACCGTTAGTGCCTCTGACGTTCCACATGGCACAGGCACTAACGGGCCACGGATGCTTTCAATGGTACCTGAACCGGATGGCGAGGGYCGACAGCCCACACTGYTACCAATGTTTGGACAGCTCCGACACCGCAGAGCACACACTGTTTGAGTGCACCTACTGGGACCGATTCCGCGACCAGCTGAGCGCTCAGTTAGGTCATCGACCGACCGTGGCTGATCTTCCTCGGATTATTTGCGGCCCAGAGTTTGAGCTACTCCCGGCGGATCTCACTGAGAAGTTCGTGATACTAATAAGAGACGCCAAGGAACAGTTCAGGCTGTTCTATGGTATGGTGGAAGGCATCATGTCCGMTAAAGAAGAGGAGGAAAAAGCCCGGCAGACCACCAAAGCCAGAGACGCGACCGGGAAGACGAGACCTAGACTATTTATAATAAAATATAAAAATTTAATGTGATAGTAGTGAGTGGGAGACTGCAGGCCCACCACTACTTATAAGATTTTGTATTGATTATTCAATAAACGATGGGGGCCGGAGGAGAAGTATTGGCAACATAGTTCCTTCTCTGGTCTTCGATACCATAGAAAAAAAAATAATAAATAAAAAAAAATGCTATAATAAAAAATTAATATATATTATAATATGTAAAACATAAAATAACCTATCTATAATAATAAAATAATATAATAATTAATAAATCTTAACTCTCAGTTTTTGTAAAATTTCTTAAACAAAGAAAAAAATCATTATTTATGTATAAATATTGTAGAAACGGGACAAACAAGGCAGGTACATAAATAATCTACTAATTTTTTACTTCAACAAACTATAATAATATTAATTTGATCAAATTATTTATTGTAAGTACCTATACATTTTACAAAGTTGGTATCCAATAGTTTGTTTTAATGATTTTAAATTTGATAAATTAATGATAATGATCATATGAAAAATTAAACTTGTTAGAATAGTTGATTTTTTTTATAAATTATTATATTTCCTCATAATTATATAATAAAAGTACAGTTATCTGGCTATTGAAACTATACACACAGGTGATTAAAAATAATTTTTTAATAAGATCTACAGTAAATTTTTATTTAGTTGCTTCCGAGTATGTTTTTATTTTATTTATGGTGTATAAAGTGTTATGATTGTAGCTAAACATATCACAATTTTAATGGATTTTTTAATATAATTTCATAAATGTTATTATTTAAATAATTACCTACAATTAAGTATAATTTTGTATCATGTTCATCTACTTTATGAAAAAAATTCCTGTTCCTTATATTTTGTAGTGTTATAGTTTGTTTTTTTCGAGGAAGCTATTTCTTGAAACCAAGCTAATGACAAACGACAGACTCCAACTGAAAAACTATACTACCACTCACCAAGTAATCAATTAGAATGGCTCATTTGAAAAACACTAAGCCGTAAGAGAATGAAAGTAGATGTAAAAAAGAACATGAAGTAATGGGATCAACTCGAAGGAACCCACATCATATGAGTATAGACGGGATAGAACAGATTTTGAAATATATATTGCAATGCCCTTAATCCTGTACACAAGAGCAAGAATTAAATGCAATTATCATAAATGCAATTGACAATGCCCAAGACGAAACATGGTTTTGGACGAATATTATATAAGCTAAAGGAAAAACAAAACATTTTTTAATCATTTTGAACTATTTCAATTGTTCTACCATTAACCTACTTATTTAAATTTTAGTTCATTTTTTATCTTATAAGCTCATGAATGTGTTTGTTAGATTTGCGTTTAAACATTTTTAGTTTTGTATAGTGTCTAACAGCCTAACACGAATAAAAAAAGGAACAAATTTTACAACTCAAACTTTTATTATTATATTATTAATTTATTATTATTATTATTATTATTTTATACTAAAAATATCTACGAATACAGTGCAGTTTTTAGTGGTTGTAATTAAATACTAAACTCAATAATTATCAATAATAGATTGTATAGATTCAAACTACATAATATTATTATAATATAACAAATTAAATCTATAACTCATGGCTTTTCACATGAACATAATACTTAGTAAATTATCTAGGGGTTCCTCGTGTACGTCCCGAATTGCCACTTTTTAATATTTCAAGTAAATCTAGAATTAGGTATCAATTGAGAAAAAAAGTCATATTTTGACGTAGCCTGAATACGTCCCAGTTAATTTAGGGATAGGTTTCTAAGGCGCATAACGAGAAGAACTGTCTTACACAGTTACACCCCAATAATATTTTTTGATTCTTATTATTTATTATTTTAGCTTGAACTCTTAACTTTGGGTAAACGTTCTACTTTATTATTTAAGAGATTTGTTTTTATTTCGATTTTTTCGATTTTGAGTATCTAGACATATATAGTATATTATATAATAGATTATAATTTATAGACTAGTGTTTAAATGCCATTCTTCTGACAAAATTTAATCTTGATATTTTACTATTTTTAAGATTACTTGCATAGTCTTCGATGAATGAAATTTTCTTGCATGTACTTCATTATTGTGACTGATACCTATAGCATTCCGGCTTTTGATATAATTTTTCAATATGACTGCGGACGCACTTAGGCTATAAAAAGGTACAAATTTAATAAACCCCAAAATCAATTCGTTTTATATAATAATAATACCTATATAGGTAGGTATTCTAGAAAGCAGCGGGAAACATATTTTAAATTAAAAACTAACAAATTAAATTGTAATTTTTACCAGTTAAAAATTGAAATTAAAGTAGTAATAAAAGGAAGCAGAAAAGAAAAACACTGGGCGACACTCGTAAAATGGTTTTAAGCTAACGAGTTAAAAAAATAAGTGTCTGACACTTCATCGATTCAATTTGGCAGTTGTAGTTGTCGATGGTATTTTACGATAAGAAATACTTGTCACCAATATCATTAGCTAGATAAAGTTAATGACCTGGAAATTCGGCATAACAATTTTGTAAAATATTAAACTTGATAACGTATATTATTTATGGGTTCAGGAATTAACTTAAAAAGTTATTTTAACAATGTCCTGTCAATGCTACTTAAAATAATCTACATTTCTAGTAGGTACCAACACAAATAAAAATAGTATAATATCGCGGTTGTGTGCCTACTTTTCTATCGTTGTCAAAAAAAATAAAATTTACCAAACACGGCTATAACTTCAAAACGAAATAATATACGAGACCTACCCAACACAATATTTTGATGAGATAGCCTAACAAGAACATAAAAATATTAGTTGTTTTCAAACGTCACACGACCAGTAAAATAGAGTAACCTACCATATAGGCAATATGGCTCACAAAAATATATAACCCGTTAAATATTACGTTTTACACGGGAACCTATTTGATAGTTTTCTTTTTTTTATATATAATGTGGTCTCCACAGATGCTTATAAGACTTGCTCAACCCAACCCTGTTTAACCTAAATTTCATTGTAATATACTTATGAATTATGATGACTATTCGGTGTACTGGTTATGGTTTCTAGGAAGCATCATGGGTCGTCCTATTGTTCTCCCCATCGTGCAAATACATCAGATTTTAAAAGTGATTTATGCCATTCGGTGATACGGTTCACTAGACATTATGTATACTCATTTTGTGCACACGTAATATTTTCCTCTTTCTTATTTATTAAAAAAAAAAAAAAAAAAAATATACAGAGTCAACGGAGACAGATATTGGTCGGAGTACAATAACATTTCGTATTTTATACTTCATGTTCTATCGATAATAATAATATGGTATGTATTTCATGTACTAAACATACACGTCATTATTATTGTGAATAATGTGAATATACTAACTATTACACACACGAACACCATAACTGTTATTTTATTGAAAATTAAAAATTGGTGTTACCTAAATAGTTTTTACAGCTTGAAATACATACGAATCCATCCAAACTAATCATTGGTAAAATTCATTAGATTTTATTCATGTTCTAAATTAGATTATTGTTATTATCGTATATTTAAATATGTTTATTAAATATTGATAAATTAAAACCATGGTTTATGATTTAAAAACCGTTACAACCCTGAATCCAATACGTTATGAAGTTAGTTATTAAAACCAATTATTTAAATACCTAATGTTAAATATAAAAACTAAATTAAAAATATCTCGGGAAAACTAAAAAGTACTGTCTTGGGAATAAATACAAATGGTAAAAATATTTTATAACGTATAATTTTTAATACAATTTTAACTAAAATTAATCATGCTTAAACATAATCTAGGTACCTACCTACAGATGCTTGTATCAAGAATAAATAAAAAATTAAATAAATACTAGGACAACAATAACTAGGAATTATCACAGTATTATAGGAATCAATATCGACAGAGTTTACCAATCAGATCAAAAATAACTTTTTTGAATACTAGTATTGCATTATTGATGTTAAGCTAAGAGTACTAACACAAAATGCTATGCTAATATTTAGTAACTGGTAGTCAAATTCCACTGATTTTATTTTAGCATTTATATAATAATATACAATTACAAAACGTAAATGTAAAATACAAAACAATTATTGACCCTGAATACAATATAGCTATCAAATATATTTCTAGTGATTACAATAAATTTCAATCTAGTAATATCAAGTTTTATTTAAATTAGATACTTTTTAAATAAATACCTATATGTAATAATAATATCCTAACCTAACCCATAATACACGTATAGTTTTTTTATGCGTAAATATTATATATTTGTTTTTTATTTAAAAGGTTTCTTTTGGCATAAATTATATGATTACAATTTTAAAAGTTCTTTAATTTTTGTTGTTAAAAAAATATATTAAATTTCGTATGATTAAAATATAAACATAGAAAAATATTTAAAAATATAGCATTGCAACAGGTATCTCATTCATCCGCTAAAATGTTAAATAAAATCAATGCAATAATAAGTTTATCGACCATAGAATACAATTTATTTTTCAGTTAAACTGGTAAAAATGTGTTGAATAACGAAGCGTTAAAAATAATTTTTACAACCCGTTTAAATTTTAGAAGATAGTATGTGGGGCAAGTATCACATTTATAACATCTCTATTAATTAATGTGTTGACAATTTTTTTTTTTTTTGAGAATAACTTTGAAATGTTTATTTAAAAATATTGTGAGCTAATGCGATTCATACGTTTCATGTCAATTGTCAGTTGTCGCTCAGTATTATAAGTTAATGTTAACATTATATAAATTATAAAATAATAACATTATTTACATATACTCGATGATTGAGTAACATTTATTGACCATACGAGATATAATATGACATATGACGATTAATATGAGTTATTTAATCACTATAGAAGTAATCGGCCATGTGTTTGAAATATCATAGCCATAAAACTAATAACTTATTAGGTTTAATATGAACTTCCTCTAACAATGTGTTGAATAAATTTGA